AAGCACGCTGGACTCGACCTGGCTGGATCCCCAACCTTCAGTCCTGTCAGACGGACCCTGGTGTGGAGACTCATCCCCAAAGCCTGGCTGGACATCAGCACAGGCATCATTCTTCAAACGCCCCATCCAAGCAGCAAGGGATCAAAGCGTTGGCACAGCTGAAACAGAAATGCTGTGTGAGTTTCCTGTTAGCACTGAGCAGGAACAAATCTACCGCTGAGCAGCAGCATGTGAGACAAGCAGCAGAAGACACCCAACCTGCAGAACCAGCTCGTTTGGGGTCGGTCCAGATGTTTGTCTGCTCCCTTCCCTGGCCCAGGCCAAGCTTGTGAGCTGCTCCTCCTTGGTGCAGGGGGAAATGGTGCAGATGCCATGTGGTGGCTATGCACAGCATGCCTTGCACTTGCTTTTCCTCTCTCCATCTGCCATTAGCAAACAGCATCTCCAGCCTCCAGAGATCACTGAGTCCAACCCCTGCACAACAGTGAAAAAAAAGATATGATAAGGGGTACTTAAAGTACAGCATCTGTAATCAGATCAGACTCCTGCACTGTGAAGACTTCCATGAGTATTCCTGCAGAGTGCATCACTTAGTCTCTCTTTAGCCTTGTGTTCATGGTTTTCCTGTAAGAGCTTGTCTAAACACTGCCTATAATCGTGGTTATGCTAGAAGCATTTGGATTTATTGATCCTTAGTGTGATTACAATAACAAATTTAGATGCCCAGAGCCACATCCAGCCTGGCCTTGGATGCCTGCAGGGATGGGGCATCCACAGCCTCCCTGGGCAACCTGTTCCAGTGCCTCACCACCCTCTGGCTGAAAAACTTCCTCCTCACATCCAACCTAAACCTCAACACCCCCCGTCTCAGTTTAAAGCCATTCCCCACGTGTCCCATCACCATCCACCCTCCAAAACAAAACACCTCGGCTGTTCAACACTGAAAGAGCAAAATAACCCACAGCTCTTACTTCCACTGTATGCATTTAATTCCAAACTTAAGGTCACAGGTTAATTACTTATGTGATCCTTCCTGACAGAAGAACTACTCGTAGTGATGTGTAGGAGTAAGGAACAGTTTGAAAAGGTCATGGACATATTAGAACTTGCAGCATTTTTCTTAATAGATGCCTACATTGCAAAGCATTTTGTAAAACACACGTTACAAGTACTGTGCACTGGATTACACTATATCAAACTCTAAGTAACAATACAGGTTGCTTTTAAATCTACACTTACATGTTTTCTTCTAACTCCTTGATAACATTCCTTACTACCTTCAGTTTTATAGACAAAGCAGTGTTTGAGCTGGTAATGTACTCTTGAAC